AAAATCCGTGTTAGGCATTATATGCTTGAGATTGCAAAAGTTATTCAGAGCATCTGAGACTCACACAGACTTTATTCTGGAGAGAGTTTGACATTTTGAAATCTAAGTACACCAAGCAATGGATTTCCCTGGTGGCTCAGATGGTAAAGAATCTGCCTGCAATGTGGGAGACCTGGGCTTAAATCCTGGGTTGGGAAGATACCTTGGAGAAGAGAATGGCAACCCACTCCAGGATTCTTGCCTGGAGAACCCCATGGACAGAGGAGCCCGGTAGGCTACAGTCCATGGGGTCACAAAGAGTCGGACACAACAGAGCGACTAACACTTTCACTTTCACACCAAGTAGTAACTTTAAAAAATTTTGCTTTAAAAAATTTCGAGGTTTTTAGACAAACAAAACTTTGATTTAGCTACGATGGTTACCTTCTGGATCCATGTGAATTTAAAATGCATTGGCCAGGTCTACTCAGAAGCAGTTGTTATTACAGAAAGAACTGAACTGTCAGAAAATGTGGTGTTCTGGTGCGACTTCTTCCTCGTTCTTCATTTATGATCTTATGAAAGTCAGTCATTCTTTTTGGACCTCAGCATCTCCATCTGCTAAATGGGAATTTAGTGCTTGACCTCGAAACTACTTATCTATGTAAAGACTCTTAGGATTGTATATAAATTTTATCATTTTATTATTATGTGGATGTAAAATATCATTGCTAAAACTTTAAAAAATATTTTCCTGTAACTTTCCTCATGTCTGTGTCTTTTTGGGGTGACAGAGGATGAGATGGTTGGATGGCACCATCTACTCAATTGACATGAGTTTGAGCAAGCTCTGGGAGATGGTGAAGGACAGGGAAGCCTGGTGTGCTGCAGTCTATGGGGTCACAAAGAGTAGGACATGACTTAGTGACTGAACATATTTCTACTTGAAATGATTTATCTAAAATTCTTTTACAATCAGTACTCTGATTTTTGCATTAACTTGTCTGGGCCACCAAGGGTCCAGATATTTGGTCAAATGTGATTCTGGGTGTCTCTGCTAGAGTGTTTGAGGATGAGATTAATATTTGATTCAGTAGGCTGAGTAAAGGAGACGGCCCCCCAGTGTGGGTGGGCCTCATACATTCAGTCTGGATTAATACATACAGAAAGTCTGGATTAGAGAGAGCTCACTCTCTGCCTGAGGCCCTGGTCTCTTCCTGTCTTCAGATTTGCCTCGGATGAGAATCTACCCCTTTCTCAGGCCTTCCGACTGGAACACGCGGCCTTACCAGCAGCTCCACTGGGTCTCACCTCATCAGCTGGGATCCTGGCTGCCAGCCTCCAAGATTGTCTGAGCCAACTCCTGAGAGCAAACCCCTCTCTCCTGAACATAGATGGACGACAGATACACGATAGATGAATAAATACATACATGCATAATAGATATAGATAGATAATAGATAGATGCATGGATAGATGAAAGACAGATGTTGATAGATAGGTAATAGATACATGATAGATGGATAGATAAATGATAGATGATGCTAGACAGATAATAGGTACATGATGGATGGATAGATAGTTAATAGATACATGATAGGCGGATAGATGATATATAGGTAATAGATGATAGATGCATAGATAGATGAAAGATAGATAATAGATACATGATCGATGGATAGATGATAGATAGGTAATAGATGATAGATGCATAGATAGATGAAAGATAGATAATAGATACATGATCGATGGATAGATGATAGATAGGTAATAGATGATAGATGCATAGATAGATGAAAGATAGTTAATAGATACATGATAGATGGATAGATGATAGAGAGATGATAGATACATGTCCGTCCTTGTGGTTCGGATCCTTTGGAAAACCCTGACTAGTACAGTGTCCTTCCAGAAGGATGCAGTCAGAGGGCCTGGACTGTCTTAGCAGCTGCAGGAGGTCTGAGACTGTGGTCTGTGGAGTCTGGAGGAAGGGCCTTGACAGACTCAGCTGTGTGTCCTTGAACGAGTTATCTCAGCTCCAGGAACCTGACCTCTTGAGGCCTCAACAAGAGAGCGAGGTGGCCGGCCCCCAGCAGACCTTCCTGTCCCTCTCTGCCCCTGCCCCTGCCCCGCGCTCGTCCCTCGGGGACAGCTGTTTCCAGCGCTGGGGCCGTGGGCACGCTGCTGCGTCAGCGCTCTGGCTGCCAACCGCAATGTCTGCACGTGGTCCTCTCGCTTCCCCGGGGGTTCAGTGACCCTAAAGGCTCCCGAGGCAATCCTAGATCACAAAAACAGGAAACATTAGAGCTATGCTTCAGAAAATAATTTCTAACTGTTTTTCACTCCCCAGACATAACCCGCCCTCGCTGCATGCCCGCAGCATGCTCCTTCCGTGCCCTCCTCCTTCCACAGCGGGGGGCTGTGGCATCTGGGCTGCTGGTGAGCCCACCCAGTCCAGGCCCAGACCACCGGCCGGCCCCCTCCCCTCGTCCCAGCCTTGGCCCCGACCAGCGTCCCCTCTCGACTCTGGAGGCCCCATCCTTCCTCCTAAAGGCTTTTCCAGAAGGCACACAGGGAAGGCCCTCTGCGGGCACAGTCGGCAGGGCTCCTGGCTCTTCATGGTTCTGGCTGAGTGTAAACACCTCTGACCCAGTGGGCAGAAAGGCTATTTTTGGAAGGATGCTGCTGTTTACTCGGGAGAAAAGTCACCACACTAGGAGTGACAAATACTTTTCCCTTTGCTCACAGATAACTTCTCTGGGCAATTTGGCAATGGCCACACTTGTAGATGAGTTATTTAAGTACCAGCCTTGGGCCACGAGTTACAACGTCTTGGTGTTGACCTGCTCTCCCGAGAGGGATGGCGCAGTGGGTCTGCTTGGAGGACCGGAAAGGAAGACACGGGCGACACAGGGCGGGGTCCTCCTCCTCCACGTGGTCCTTGCAGGACATGCCAAGACACAGAGATGCGCCAGCGTGGCTCCTGGTGCAGGAGGTCTGTCTGCGAGGCGGTCCTGTCGGCCTGAGGGCTGACCTCCCACGAGGCACCGCTCCGAACGTTTCCATGTTTCACTGTGATGTCGTCTCAGTGTTCTACCAGCTTTTCAAAACCACTGAAGGTGCTTCGTGAGGACAGAGTTACAGTCCGGGAAAAGGGAAGCTCTGGAGGCTGATGGCAGTGGTGGCCCAGCAGCGTAAGTGCAGGGAACGCTCCTGCCCCGCGCACTGAAAGACGGTGGAAGTGGTGCATCTTGTTATATGTGTTGTAAGAAGGAATGAAAGAAGGAAGGAAGGAAGGAAGGAAGGAGGAAGAAGCTACATTATCAGAGTTGTCAGATTATGGTTCCTCTTTATGCCTTTGGTTCAGTTCAGTTCAGTCGCTCAGTCGTGTCCGACTCTGTGACCCCATGGACTGCAGCATGCCAGGCCTCCCTGTCCATCACCAGCTCCCAGATCTTGCTCAAGCTCATGTTCATTGAGTCGGTGATGCCATCCAACCACCTCATCCTCTGTTGTCCCCTTCTCCTCCCACCTTCAATCTTTCCCAGCATCAAGGTATTTTCCAATGAGTCAGTTCTTCACATCAGGTGGCCAAAGTATTAGAGTTTCAGCTTCAGCATCAGTCCTTCCAATGACTATTCAGGACTGATTTCCTTTAGGATTGACTGGTTTGATCTTGCAGCCCAAGGGACTCTGAAGCGTCATCTCCTACACCACAGTTCAAAAGCATCAATTCTTCGGCGCTCAGCTTTCTGTATAGTCCAAATCTTACATCCATACATGACTAGTGGAAATGTCAAATTGAAAATACTTTAGCATAAGAACACAGTTTTCGTTAACAACCTTTCATATCCACACTGACACATCTCTGACACATTTCCCTGCACTCTGCCCTCATCCGATGGAAAGAGTTTTGTCTACCAAATCTCCATCCATAAAATCAGTCTGTGGATTTACCTTATCTTGTTCCTACGCATGGAGGTACCTTCACAACTCAGTGGACGTTGGAAATAAAAACAAGACTCAGTCACACAGAGAAGTGAGGGGCTGACCACACGTTCGGAGGCCTGGGGCCTGCAAGTGTCCCAGCAAATCCAAGCAGGTCGGCTCAGCGCGAGTGCTCAGTCCTGGGGATGGAGATGTGGAGCTCTCAGGTGCTATGGCACTGGTGTCATTGAACCGTCTCAGGAGGCTGCTGAAACTTAGTATCTGTTGCTTAAAATCCTCCAGAATCCGTTAGCTTATATTAAATGTGAGGCCATGCAATTCTTTCCTAATGACAGTCATTCCACGTGGCAAGTTTGAAAGATGAAACTTCCCACCAGGGAGGTGTTTCAGAGAAACTAGACCTGGTCAGTGCCTTCCCGAAGGCTCCCCTCCACCTCCCCGGACAGGAGTCTCAGCCACGGGGAAAGAACGTGATGCCAGTGGAAGCGAGGATTCTCGATTTCCCTCGGTTCCAGGGCTCTGAATAGAGGGTCTTACGGGGCCTCTTAAGGAAGAGGCTGACTAGAGGCTCCTCCAGGGCTGGCTGTCCTGTTTACCAGTTGTGGCCGCTTAAGTCTGTCAACCACCAGAGAGGACAGTGGTCATATATTTCTATTTCTCACCCGCGTTCATCCCCGAATGCTGGGCAGTCACCGGGAAACGGTGTCAGCTACTTTTCCTGCGTGTGGCTCCGGACGTCCTTGGAGAAATCACTGCTTCTCACAGGACCAGGACCAGGCGGGGAATGAAGGCAGGAGTCGTTTTCCCTTGTGGCCCGGGTCGCGCTTGTGCCGGGAATTTCGATTAGGTGTTACCACCCTTCCTGCGCAGATAATGAGGGCAAATCCTACCAGTCGGAGAGCTGAGGAGCTGGGTGGATGACGACCGGAGTGGCCCGCTCTTAACTCCGCGTCTGTCCAGATTTGCGCGCTGGCGGGCGCTTTGGAGACTCAGTGGGCTGGTGTGTCTCCGGGATGCGGAGTCTCCAGGGCAACCGCTGACTCCTCCTCTTACCGGGGCACGCCCACCGTCTGGCTGCTCCGCGCGGTGAGAAGGAAGAGGTTCGCTCCTCGATCTGGACGCGGACCCCACGGCCTGCCACACGGCGAGGGGCGACCCACACATCCTCGATGAAAACAGTCACAGCGGCTGCGCCCCCGTGAGCGCCGGGTCCCGCCCGTCCCTGTCCTGAGGCCCCGCATACGTCCACTCTTCCATACTCACGGCCGTCGCCTACGGACGTTATCATTTGGACGCTCCTGGAAACAGAAAAGGGGGCGAGGGAAGGCCAGGGGCTCCCAGGGCTCAATGTGCAGAGCTGACTCCAGACAGACACAGTCCGTCTTCAGTGCGTCTTCACCACTTCTGTGCCCAAGTGGCTGTGCAGACAGCCGCTCCCGACAGCATCAAGGCCCCCTCGCTCAACAGGCAGAGCACCCCCTGCTCATGGCCCGCCCTGTCCTCACTCTCCGTGAAAGGAGGCGGCGTACACGCGCGCACACGTGTACACACGCCCGGCGTCTGGGACGATGAGCAAAGGGTGCTTCGTGCTTGCATGCGTGTGTGACCACGTGCACGTGGGTCTCTCCGTGTGCCCACACCTGTATCCCTGTCACTTCGCAGGTTATTCTACTTTCTGGCACGTCTCTGTGGTCAGCAGAGCTGAGGGGACCCTCGGGGGCTGTGACTCATCAGCCCGGCATCCACCACCGTCCCCTCCTGGCCTGGTGAGCACCAGCCCTTCCTCTGGGGCCTGAATCCACCAACCCTTCCTCCAGATCAGCTTCCAGACCCCTGAGGGCGGGTCTGCTCCCCGCCCCCACCCCACCCAGTACAAGCCTGCAGGTCGGCAGAGAGTTCACAGCAAAGAGAAAGCCCCAGATGAGTAGGCAGCTGGTCTAACGTGAGAAGGAGGCCCCCGGGGGAGGCCAAGCCCATCATCCTCCTGCCCCCGACGCCGTGGGCCTCCAGCGTCACCAGCATGAGGACGGGCGGACGTGTGGCGGACTGGCTGGGCTGCCAGGCGCCATCACACACCTGCAGCGGCTGTGTCTGCAGGGACATGAAGACCCTGGCTTCTTCGTCCTTTGTGCCGAGTTTCGGCCAGAGGAGTGCAGGGTGGAGATTGTGTAACTCCGGGGTCAGCGGGGTGCACCAGGTCCTCTAGGGCTCAATCAGAACTGGCTGAGCTTCCTGCCCACATCCTGTGGGCAGGGTGGACCTCCCCAACTTTCCCGTAAGCGCCGGGGGAATGACTGTCCCTCGGTCACTTCAGGTCCAGTTTCCTGTCCCCTGACCTCGATGCGTCCTTCCCAGCCCACCTCCAGGGACGGCCTCTGTCCCACACCTGGCAGCAGCCTGTCCCCTAATTCCCAGCCTCCACCCTCAAGCACTGGGGGCCTGCACTCGGAAGGAGTGGGTTGGGGGCCTGGGCTGGGGAGTCCTCAGCACAGCAGGAGGTTCAGATAGGAGGCTGGGGTCCTCCGTACATGCCCCAGGGACGGCTCAGGTGCAGACCGCCCCCTCTCAACTGACTGGACACCCTTGTTTGCCAAACCCACATCTCGAGTCCCCCTTGAACTTCCGAGCTTCACTGAGCATCAGCTCATCTCGCAGTGACTTGCGCTCCTGCCCCAGCAGACCCTGATTTGTCTTTGGAGATCACAATGTCCATTCTCCCAGAGAGGGAAACCAGCAGAGGGGCCATCTCTGCTTCTCTCCTCAGCAGCCCCCATGTCTGGACAAGGCCCCAGACTGTGTAGCTGTCCTGCGTCAGCCACACGGTGTCCGGATGGGCAGGGGGAAGAGAAGGGGTGATCTACCCCTGAACACACATTTGCGTACACTTGTGCACACTTGTACGCACGTGTCCACACCTGTACACATCTACAGTGTGTGTGTACATGTGTGTACAAGTATTTACATCAGTTCACGAGGGTTCAAATGTGCACGATTGTGTACAAGTGTATACAGATGTGTACAAGCATGTGCATATGTGTGTAGAAGTGTTCACAAGTCTGTACATATCTGTACAATTGTGTACAACTGTGTGCAAGTGTGTACTTATGGCACAAGCAGGATATCATGTGTGCACATGTGTGCCTGGGTGTGCATTTGTGCTTACGCATGTGTGCAGGTCTATGCATATGTGTGCATATGTACACGTGTGTGCGTGCATGTGCCTGAATGTCTGAGAGCTGGCTGGAAATCAAAGCTAACAAGCCCCAGCTCCTGCCCACGGGCCTCACAGAAAGGGCGTGACGCTGAAGTCCATTCAAGTGTCTGGCTGGCGCAGCTGCCTTTCCATTGGCACCGGGAGTGGAGGTAGAAATGGGCAGGGAGCTCTGAGCCAAGCAGACTGCAGTCAGCATGCTCCACCTAGATGCCCGCTGGGCCATTTCAGTTGACACCTGAAGTGTCCGGGGCTTGGGGGGAAGCAGGTGGGCGAGCCGGGGCTGGGGGCTGTGCAGGAGTCAGGCTGGAATCACACAACCTCGAGCTGCAGCCTGGAGGCAAAGCCAGCACGCTGTCCCGGGGCTGGGCCCTTCCCCGGGGCCCCGTCACACCCAGACACTGCACGTCCTTCGTGTCCTGCCATCCAGGAGGTGGCGCGGGAGCCTCACAGACTTGCGGGCTGTCCTGGGCCCGGGGACACCTGCCCTCACACCCCAGGGCCCCCGCTCTCCTCTGCCTTCACCCACACAGGCAGAAGCTTCCTGCCAAACTGAGGACACCTCGATCCCAAAACGGGCTGAACCTCAGCCATTTCTTTCCCCCACCTCGGCTGGGTCGTGTCCACTCAGAAGTGATGCCCCTCCAGCCTCCACTGAGCTGTGAGGATCCCGACTCTGCATGTCATCTCCTGGGAGCATCCGACCTCTGGGACACCAGCCGGGTTGAGCTCTGCTTCCTCTGCCTGGCAGTGGGGTTTGATGCACTGTGAAGAATTTTCTGGTTACTTTGTGGATTCAGTCATCTGGCTCCAGACAAAACTGAGCATCCATCTGCATCTGATTTCAGTCAATCGTGAACCTGTTGTCTTTTTTCTGAGTGGTTAGTGTTGGCTGAGGGTGGATGGGGGGATGGCTATTAGGGGGTGTGTTTCATGAGAGAGATGCTGGGGGCATAAAGAGAGAAAACAAGATTTGGACTATTCCTGCTCAGAAAAATTCACAGCTAATAAGAAATTAGAAAGAGTCATCATGCTCTTCTCACAGCATGCTTGAGGGGTCAGTGACTCAGGGAGCCAGTGAGTGGATCTGCTGAATATGTCACCTGTGCCCCTGGGGACACGCATTCATTCACACAGCCCTTGAGATGGGAATTGTTTCATCCTGATTTTTTTCTTATTTCATCTTGATTTTAAGAAGATATTTGGAGAAGCACATACTGGTATTTGCCCTGCATCTTAGAGATCACTACCGTGTCATGATGGAAAAATCATAACCTCTGAACTGGCCATTTATTAAGCAAAAATAAAATACCCATAAATTCCCAACATAGAAATCATACAGTTAAAGTTTTTCTCTAATAAAAGATAAAAATAATTTTTAAATGACTTTTTTAATGTTTAAAAGGTAAAAATCATCATTACGAGAGGGAAAATACAAAATAAGCACATCAGAGATTTTACTTTCATCATCAACCAATGAGGAGACCAGTAAGATATTAGTTACCATGAGTTCAAAAAACAAATACACACGTACACGCACATACAGAAGCAATTAGAAATACTGAAATACATTTACAGATAGATCAAAATTGGTCAATATCCACAAGGCAATAGTTACTTGAATCTCCAATAATTCAGACATAATATATGTATATTTCTACGGTCAAGAATCATTCCCACTGTCATGCAACTTCTTCGATTGATAGGTTGTAAAATAGCTCAAGTCAGAGATGACTGTTCCACGTTACAAGGGACACCTAATATTATCTCTGCCCATTTCAAACTTCCCCTAAATTTTCGTGTGTGTGTGTTTGATTTTTAATTGAATTTATGGGTTACTTAATGTTAGAATAAGAAACAAGTTGACAATAAATTTTTTTTACTAATTTTTGTTTTATTAAGAAGCCCTATTCGCATAAATAAGTAAATAGTAAATAAAAGACTTGTTGAGGCTATGTCACTCAATTCTTTTAACTTCTTCTGAGTTATATGTCAAAAATCACATAATGATCAATCACCAAAATTATTTTTAATGATCCACCAGCTGATAATTAAGTTTTCCTGTAACTGTATCGAAAGCGAAGGATTGGAGACTGCCTGACTTGCTACCAGCACTAGTCTTTGCTCTCTCAGCGCATTTCATCAACTGCCCCACTGCCCCTTGGTTTCCCCCAAGGCCGTTACAGACTAGACCAGTGCCCCGGGACAGCTGAATGCCAGCGCGCCCTTTGCAGAGTGGGGAGGGCCGGGGGGCTGCAGATGACAAGCCAGCATCACTCATGTTCCTCATGAAGCTCTTGATGTGTTTGGCACAGAGCAGACTCCTTTAAACTTAACAACAACAAAATCCTGAATGAATAAATAGATGTCTAAAGCAGATTTACCATAAAACTAACAGAGCTCAAGCTTCAGGACCCTTCATTACATGGGCTCCTTCCAGGGGCCAGGTGGATACCTCAGGAAACGGTCCACACGAACGTAAGTTTCTTGAGTGACCCTTCACAATGTGCTCGTGTGACCATGTGCAATAAAAGTTGCAAACAAAAGATCATTTAACGAAGATGAACCAACGTCTTCTTATGTTTTTATTTCCTGTCAATCACACCTTCCCTTTGGAGGGTGAGCTGGAGTGGCTGCAGGGCAGGCGGACTCCCGAGAAGGGGTGAGTGGAGCTGGGGAAACGATGGGATAAATGGATGTGGTTTCCAGGCCCTCTCCTCTGCCGACTTGCTGCTGAACACCCTGATGGAGGGTGGCTTACTTGAGCGTCTCTTCTGCATGCTGTGTCCACTGGCCCAGCCCCAAGGCTGCAAGATGCAGGTCAGAGGTAAGAGTCAATCCAAGGGCACCCGCTGCGGGTAGCGAGGAGAAGCAGGTCTTCACCTGCACAGATTCAGAAGCCAGTCTGCAGGAGGCTCCTCCAGCCTCCACTGTGTAAAACTACACAGAGGATCATCACTATTGGTCAAAAGTTCATCCTGCTTTCTTCTTTCTTTCTGGATGGGGTTGGAATATCTGATAAAAAAGGAAGCTTTTATTTTTAATGGATTTAGAAAGATGAAACATTTTAATAAAGCAAATGAGAAATCATAGAGACTTGATTTGGATGTATGTAAATGTACATCTTTTGAATGCATATGAATGTACCTCTGTAAATGTGTTTAGGTGTGTATCTTCTTTTGGCCAGCCTAAATTTGTTAACCAATGAAGAGAAATTAATATTAAATTCAATAGAGTACAAACAAAAATGAATAGTTGTGCAATGGAATCCATAAGAGATATTCTGATATAGAGTACTAAATTTTGACCAAAAGAATGTTCAGATTGCTTCAAAGCCAGTAATTCATCAACAGGAAGAGATAAATTCTGACTAGAAATTATGAGTAGGATTGAATTATAGGAAAATCTAATCAGTGAGGATGCCAGAATTGCCTGAGCAATTTGGGGGAAAGATTTCAAGTGAGTTAGTCAACCCTGCAAGTGACTGTGTGCCCATGAGAAATGGCTCCCACGTGACAGGAAAATGAGGAGGGACTGGGTCGGAGGAGGCCCCCAGACAGGCCCAGAGGGGATCACGGGCGGGTCCCAGCACACTGTCCCTTCGTGTGACCTCCATGTGTGAGGTTAATTTTTCCTCGTTAGGACACGCTATCCAGAACAGCCCATCCACACGGTCCTGCTCACATGGGAAGGAGCTGAGAGGCTGTCTCTCCCCAGAGATGACCATCTGGGTGAAACCTCAAAGCGTCCTTGGTAGTTGAGCCTGAGCAGTCCTTCCTGCCGGTCCCAAGCGGCAGGCTCCCAGCTGGCCCGGGTTCCCACCCACCCCCAAGGCCAGCCCTGTCCCTGTGGTCACTCTGGTTGATTGCGACTCCTTCTTAGGCCGAGGCTAAGCTCAGCTCAGGACGTGGCAGAGACGAGGGTGGTCCCGGACGCGGAGTCCCTGGAACCTCATCTCCGTTAGATTCCTCTCACGTCTCCAAAAGAGTCCCTCACCCTGGAGGATTTTTAAACGAACACGTGGCCAAATATGGGGGCCTCCACATTGGAGCTGACAAGCAGGCCAAGTTGGGATCCTCGGCCAATGTCCTCTGAAGTCCAATATCCAACGCAGAGACCTGACTGGATGGGGTGATGCAGGCTCACGCCCTCTGCTCCCCGGAAGTGGGGCAGCAGGTCTGGATTTAGCTGGGCCGGTCGCCGCTGCGTGACCATCCTCTGCACCCTCCCCTCTGTCTTTCGAGCTTGACAATCCGATGCTCCATCCATCCCGCCTCAAGGAGGAGTCTGTGTTCAGGCTTCGCTTCCCCTGCTGACGCGCTCGTTTGGCGTCAGTGTGTGTCCCTGCTCTGAAACGATGGAAACTGGTGATCCCGACCACAGTGGGGATGCCCCCCACCCCCCGCAACAGCCTCCGTCCTACTGTGACGAGTTGGGGGGAAGCACCCAGGGCAGGGTCGTGCAGCTCAGACCCCAGCCCAGCCGCCCCCCACCATCCTGCTGACTCAACCCCGCCAGCCCTGCTCTGCTCACAGACGTCCTCCGGTTCGTCCAGAGTCAAACCTCTGCCTCAGCGTTTTCCTCCAGCTCAGGAGGGAGATGCAGAGGGTGGAGGGCACTGGCCGCCTGGCCCCACTGACCTCCGGGGGCGTGCCGCTGGCTGGCAGGGGCATGATGGAGGGTGCCCCTTCTCGAGTGGGCGGGTGGGACGGGGCGCCTTGTCCTGAATCTGTCCAGTTATCAAAACAGGGGGAGCTGCCAAGACAAACAGCTGAGGTATGAGGGCTGGCAGCTCACGATCACTGCAGGGTGACAGGCCCCAGGGAGCGAGACGTCAAGGATGCTGCTTGGAATAGCTGGGATGGTGAGCATTCTTTCCCAGCAGAGGGCTGGACCCGGCGCGGGGGGCAGGCGTGCATGACCCCAGTGCCCGGGAGCGGGGGGCTCACTGCCGCTGCGCCCCCTCTGGGGGTCGGGGACTGAGCAGCACCCACCGCCCAGCACCTCCCACACGGGGGCCACGTCCGCCCACCTCCCTGCCGCCTTCAACACCAGCCTGGCCGTGAATCGGTTATATCAAAAGAGCCCTTGTACTGCATAATCATTTTCATCTGGTTTGGGGGAAAAGCAGCCCTAAAATGTCTGCTGGGCGGTGGCTCGGGCCAGCGGGCCAGTCTGCAGAGCTGGTGCTCGGCCGGGGGAGCAGCTGACAGGCCAGCCGGGCCTGCTTTACGGCCTTTAAAGCCTGTGCTGACACGGAGGATCGGGGAAGGATTTATGGTCAGCTCAGGCCATCACCCAGCTCTGAGAGCTGGTCATTACAAGCTGCCTGACAGCTGGAATGCAGTCATCACTTGGAGGAATATTTATTTGGTTTTTAAGTTTTTGGATGAATCCGGTTTTCAGAAAGCGAGGGCCCCCTAGGAAGTCAGACCATGCCATTATTGCATCCAAGCCATTATGCAGTTGCTGGCCAATTATGTAATCCTATATGGAAAACACAGCCAAAGGCAGGGCAGGCTCCGGGACCCAAGGGCTCCTGTTACCAGCCTCGCCCCGCGGCTCCACGGGGTTGCCCGCACCTCGGTGTCACCGAGGCACCCAAGAAGCCAGCGCTTGTACCGTCTGCCCAGCATCTCCACCTGCCCGGGCCGTGGTGACGATGACCTTGACGGAGTGGTGACATCGATTAGTGCGGTTCCCTCTGACTCCCTGCTGAATCCCAGGTGATAAACAGCAGTGCATGCGGAGCTGGGCGTTCTTCGTAAGCCCTAGTCAGCCTGAAGCTTTCCGTTAAGCTTCTATAAACACATCTTCTTTTCACACTAAAATCATCCCAAACGTTAACATTTCTGCTCTCAAGCAAGTCACAGCTTGGAATTAACGATGTTTGCGCGTGACTTCTTTGGACGGTTCTCGCGTCGTCCAGATAAGAACCCTGACGTGCACTGACGGACACACCACCGCTTCTGTAAAATATTGCCCAACACTTCTGGTATCTTCTTCAGCTTGTCCCGCCCCACTTGACCATCTTATTTTTCTTTCCAGAACTCGAGGCAAGCATCTCGCCCTGATAGTGATTCTTCTCAGGAAGATCCATCCTTTTCCGAGGACCCCAGTGAAAAGGCAGGTTACCCTCAAGGCTGCGTCCAGCCTCTCGCTGCCACGCGGTCTCACGGGTTGGCCGAGGGTCCCCAAGCCCGACCTCCACTCCCAGGTGGGCAGTGCCCGGCGTGGAAATCCTCTGAGCTGTTCGCTTCTGTGGGCAGCTTCTGAGTGA